TTTTTGACCATACTCAGATGAACAAGAAAAAGTCTGGTCAAGAAAAATGTTCATTTTTTATCGGAACCATCAAAGTCTTGCTTTGGGGATATCTTGGAACAGCCCAGAACTTCCTTAGACTCCACTGTAATCAAGCCCTCATAGCATGATCATTCAGTAGTTCCGATAAGTAGGATGATCGTCCAACTACCTGTTTCGATAATCTGGTTTTATCATCTCAGGTCACAATTTGGCATGTTGGAATCTTGATAAACGCAGGTGTGTCCCCATAAAAGAACAGTAAGTCCATTTGGATAGTTCACCATCTGCCCAGCCTTCCAGAATCTTCCCTCGATGGGTGGTTCCCAGCGACAGATCTTTTACCGTCGTGGGAACCAAAGATCCTGCTCGATGGTTCACTCTCTTGGAAATTGTCTCACCAGCAAGCCTGGAAAATACATGAAAATATATGGGTGTGCATTGGATTTCCATCAAATTAAATCCAATAATGTCCAATTGTGCCTGGTTCTTCCAACTGGAGGGTTCGACAGGATTAAGTTTCAGCCGTTTCAGCCTGGAGTGGGCCCGCTACCAGTGTCCGGTTTTCTAGGAGGCGTGCCATGTGCAGTTGGCAGTCTGGAATCTGAACTTAGGCATGCAACAGAGATGTTCAATTCCCGCCAAAAAAAAACAACCAAATTGCCATTTCAACTGAGCTTGGCAAACCAAATGCAATAGAAAATGGGCGTTCTCAAAATTTAGCAACAACAAACTAGCAGAGTGCAATGAATACGGAAACAGTTTGGATCCCTCTAAACTCCATGCTTAACATGCCCAGCCAACACTTCCAAGCCAAGGCAGTCCTTTTCGACTACCAGAGCTGGGTTTGGTGTCAAAGGAGTGTCGAATGTTGATTGAATGCAGCTGCTGAGAATTGATTTCAGCCGCTGCAGCCTGCCCCAAGTAGTGCTGGATGAACACAAGATATCCCGAGAATCAAAGCCTCCAACCCAAGTGGACAACCCCAAACAAGGCTTGTGGATTTCCCACAAGGTGCTAGTCACCACAGTCCCAAACAGAAGAAAAATTCAAATTATTTGGTCTCTCTGAACAAACCATTGCACACCTTGTTGGCGGCTCTGTTGGCCTACCACCCCCACTAATACCGGGTTTTCCCCCCCGTTCATCGAAGACAAGTCTATGAATATGTTTGTGGGTTCCAAAATTGAAGAAAACAGGGGAATGATTGAAGTTTGGGGTATGGAAATTGGGTTCAAGGGAAAAAAAATTGTGGAAGCTGACTGGATCTGAGTTTCATTGACTTATGAACAAGTTCTGGCAACAATGGAGTTTTGGTGACTGGTTTTGGAATCTAGTTTCTAATTCAATCCCAAACAAATGAAAAGAAGAAAGGCATCAAAGAGCCTAATTTGTTTCCTGATCCAAACGATGTCCTTTTACTATGTTTTACTCATGGTATTTTTAATTTCAAAGTTGCGCTGGGTTTATGGATGAGGACATTGGTCCGGTGATGGGCCTTGAATTTTTCACGATCCTTTCTGAACTGAGTTCGCTCTTCCGCTGGAGACTTCTCAATGCCACGATTCATAAAATTCATGGCATGTTCCATGATTCGCTCCTGAACAGAAATGATTTGGGCACACCAAATCCCCATAGTGGATCTTCCAAATTTAACCCTTCATCTGGTAACAAAACAGAAAGACTTACAAGCGTCCACCAATTTTTTCAATGATGTCCATGTCCTGGTCTTCAGGGCCCATACTCTGCAGCATCTGCATCACTTTTGCTGGATCCGGAGACCCCGTCATCTCCATGAAAGTGTTCATGACTCGTACAGGGGACGGCTCAGCCGGTGTCCCGCTGATGAAGAAGCAAAACTCCAAAATAAATCGGTGGTTGAAATGAATCGGCGATTGAAAATGCTTACGACCTGTAAGACCTGTATGACCTCGAAAGCGACAACCGACACCATATAACCCTCAAGGATTGGCAAACCGCTCCAACCCTTTTGTCTCAACCGCTTCTAAGCCACTGTTTGGGCAACGGATTCACTCGAATTTGTGTGTGCGTGTCATCCTGCAGACAACTGGCCATGCTAATCTTCTCTGTTTCGTTTCAACTACCTGGAGCCTACATGCTTGTACATGTCCATGAGTGCAATGACTAGAATCTTACACCCCACCTTGGCGCTGCAGCAATTTCTGGTGCTGTCCACATCTATTATAGGTTGACCCCTACCAGGCCACTGTGCTGAATTCAAGTTCCAGTTTCCATTGAAATTTTCTATGCCACGCTCACTGTCTGCATTTGGGTCAGCTGGAGTACGTAGTGCTCTGTTTTGTCTCATGCATTCATTGCGCACCACTTTGCCCAGCATCACCACAGCAACTAGGCAATGTCAATGAGAGCTTCGATTTCGGACATCGCACGGGCATAGTTGATGGCCTCTTCCCGGTTGCCATCCACTTCTGCTATGTTGTGCCTCATCCTCAAAGATTCCAGCGCACTCCGTGGTCGAAACTGATTAGCTCTGGAGAATGCCACCATACGCTCGTAGTTGTTCACATCGAGGTTGCCATAGTGGGTCTCTGCCCACTCTTCTGGGTCAGATACCTCCTCCTGATTGGAGTTCATGTCCTCCTTTCAGCAGGAGTTTCTTCCACATCCATCTTGTCATCATCGTCGTCCATTTCTTCATCTTCTCCTTCTGCATGTCTTCTGTAGGTTCGATCAGTTTCTTCATCTGCTTGAGTTTCACCAACTGCCCGGGGATCCTACCGCACATTGGTCCTAGCAACCAGCCAAAGTTTAAACACAACATTCCAGACAGAGGTTCCCGAGATCCTACCTTGCTGTGGTCCTATTAACTCTGCTGAAGTCCAAACACAACTGTACAGTAAGAGGTTCACACCCAAAATCCACTCCAGTCCCCACAACAGGCAAAACCAAACTTTAATTGCCATGCATCAGCTCACTCTTCCATTAAACCCTGCAGAACCGCAATCGAGTCCGCACTAATTTTTTTTTCCTACGGTGTGGTGGAAAAACACACTGCACCCAAGAAATTCTCAAAATCCATGCGGCATGAAACAACAACCGCCTACCACGGTCAAACGTCTTCTATCAGCCACGCCGCTGACAACTTAAATCCAGGGCGGGCGGGTGGGTGCTCAAGAAACACTGAACACCACCAACGCCGCGGCCCTCCGCGCAACCAATCCGTTACGCTAAACGCGCAACCAAACCGTTACGCCCAAACCGCTAGTGGCCAGCTAGCAATCTTGTCATGAATCCTCATGACAGGTCCAAACATTCATGTTAATCTCACATGACAAGCAAGAGACTCACATCTCTAAATCGAAACTCATGTGTCCACATGACAGGCGATAAACTTCATGCAAACCCACATGAACAGCCAGAGATCCTATCTCTAATGTAGTCCCGTGTGTCCACACGCGAAGCACATCATGGAAACTCATGACTCACCCAGAGATCAAGTCACAACCAATCAAGTGGACCAAGTTCACATAAAAGTAAGGCATCCAGAAACATGATGAACATTCGAACCCGGGTCGTCCAGTTATGTTGCCCAAAGTAAAGTTAGCGCCACAACGAAGACAACTACACCTACTGCAACATTCAACGATAAGGGTGCTATCGAATCCCACTACTCGCCCCTGCGTGTCGACCCGCGTCAATGCTCTGTCCATTCAGCCTGTAGACACTGTTCAGAGCAGCTTCGGCTAAGTCCACTCCTTGAAAAGGTTCTCCTTCAGGAGCTTCTTGAGGTTCATCATCATCTTGTCTCGGGCCTGGTGAGTCAACACACCAGCACCCACTGGATAGTTTCCACCAGTTAGGTACTCATCCAAGCAGCCATACACGTTCTCCACGTCCACTATGAAATCACCACGCTGCCCAGACTCACGATAGCGCTCATCTAAGTACACTATCTCCTTCTTCAAGATCCACCATGCAACCCAGAGACTCGGTTTCACAAATGCTCGAAACCTCAGTCCCATCAGCCATGCCGCATGTCGTGGAGCAAACTGCTGACGCCAGCCATAGTGCCTCCACACCATTGGTCCAGCGCAAGCAAAACCAACTGCAGCAAACATCATCGCACACACAATGAACCGCGCAATCACGGAGAGTGCCTTGTAGACCACTGCCATGCATCCTCATCCATAGTATGTTGAAGTAGAGGCCAGCCAATCACCAGCGTCCACCATACCATCTGCAGCTCGCCATCGTCGTTGGCACTTCCACCTGTCACAGGATCATGATGAGCGAATGCATCATTGTTGCAACCCTTCAACTACCATTTGCCATTTGGATCAAACGGACACATTGTTCTCTTGTTGCACGATTCATTCTGCGGATTCTTCTCATTGTGTTGTCATCATTTCTTTTTGCATCATTTGGACTGAAGAAACCTTCTCCGTTTTTCTCCAAGTCCTTTGGTGTTCAAGTCACCAGGATTCAGCTTCGTGTGAACTTTGAAAATGGAAAACACCAGTACGCAGCAAATTTCGAAGAAAGAACTGCTTGATCTGAATGTGCTTCAAACGTCCAGTTCCAGTTGGACGAATAAGGGCCAATGCTGATGCTGAGTCCATGTACAATCTCTGTTGCACCTTGTCGCTGTTTCCTTCGCTTTCATCTCCAACAAGAAACTTGCACAAGCGATACAAGAAAAGACTCTGCACCATCAAACCCAGCCTCGCAACTGGAAAGTGCCATTGAAGCTTGGGTTCGGCAAATGCTTTGAGTAGGTGATCCATTGAGAAAGATCAACCCTGCGAATTGTTTTGCAATCAGCCCATGAAGAATCGCTGAATGCTTTCAAAATGAATCTTCCTTCGGCCGTCCAATCTGGAATTGTAACTTCATCCTGGATAAAGTCATCCTCTTTCCAAAAGTCACTGACCATCTTGCTTCTTCAGTTGAACGTAGGAGAATGCCATCATCTGGAGTTGCTTCAAGATACAGAGGAGGCCCGCACATGCGAAGCCTGATTTCAATTGACTTTCCGGCCCCAGAAATGGAACCTGAAAGCGCAGATGTGGTATCAGCTGTCTCCGTTCCCTAGCTCCAATGCGGCGATTGTGATGCAGCACCACCCCGGCAACATTCACCA